GGTCTTGAAAATTCGAGATTGGGCGAAGCTTAAAACTAGCTCAAACTCGAATAGGCTCCGCCCACTTTATAGAAAGTGGGCGTGGTCTTGAAAATTCGAGATTGGGCGAAGCTTAAAACTAGCTCAAACTCGAATAGGCTCCGCCCACTTTATAGAAAGTGGGCGTGGTCTTGAAAATTCGAGATTGGGCGAAGCTTAAAACTAGCTCAAACTCGAATAGGCTCCGCCCACTTTATAGAAAGTGGGCGTGGTCTTGAAAATTCGAGATTGGGCGAAGCTTAAAACTAGCTCAAACTCGAATAGGCTCCGCCCACTTCATAGAAAGTGGGCGTGGTCTTGAAAATTCGAGATTGGGCGAAGCTTAAAACTAGCTCAAACTCGAATAGGCTCCGCCCACTTTATAGAAAGTGGGCGTGGTCTTGAAAATTCGAGATTGGGCGAAGCTTAAAACTAGCTCAAACTCGAATAGGCTCCGCCCACTTTATAGAAAGTGGGCGTGGTCTTGAAAATTCGAGATTGGGCGAAGCTTAAAACTAGCTCAAACTCGAATAGGCTCCGCCCACTTCATAGAAAGTGGGCGTGGCCTAGTTTTCTATCATTTTGAGCTCATTAACAGCTAGGCTCCGCCCACTTTATAGAAAATGGGCGTGGCCTAACTTCTATGCACCTTGCGGCCGAAAAAAAATGGGCGGAGCCTCCTTAAAGGCGCATTTAAAGGAGCATGCGTTTTCGAAATTGTTTTCTGAGCCTGTTTTTGTCAATTTTTCGAAAAATCGCTAAAATCGCATGCTCCTTTAAATGCACGTTTAGGAATTGTGCTAAGCTCCGCCCACCATCGGAATTTTGGCCGCAATGCGCATTGAATTCAGACCACGCCCACTTTATTTAAAATGGGCGGAGCCTAGTCGAGTTTGGGCTCGTTTTGAAGCTGATAATGAGCTCAAAATGATGGGAAACACTGAAATTCAATTTAGGTTACTGTAATTTTTTGATTACTCTAATTAGAATGCTTACTTTCTAACCGATTTCCACGCATGAAACGCAATCAAGTGTAGCTGTGGAGACCATGCCAGATACACCTCATTGGGTGTGAAAATCGATATCTTATCGATTACCGGTGCCTCCCGATCCAACAGAACCTCCAAAACATCCATCGACACGAATTGCTTGTACTCGGAGCCCCGTTCTCTCTGCGCTCTCTCCTCTCGATAGTTCTTCTCGCGCTCCAGCTGACTCCATCTTCTTGTCGGCGACGTCGTTTGCTTCTCCTCTTCATCCTCTTCCTTCGGTTTGACTCTCTCTGATTCGAAGATATCTGCTAGGTAGAGCTCCTCGTTAAGGCCTGAATTCCGGATTCCAGTGGCTCCTCGGATCATCTCAATTTTGAGAATTCGCTCGTTTCTGACGTCTTCTGTCACGAATTCTAGTTTTGATGCTGTTAACGCTGAATAGGACTTGTTGGAAGTCTTACTAGCGACATCTACCAGCACCGCTACTCGATTCATGGACACCTGGAGTGCCAGAATCTTCTCTGGCCCATCCTTTTTGATATTCGCCTCCGCTCCTGATCTTCCAAAGATCAGAATCCCCTCAATATGACTGGCTAGACGATCAGACCACTCGAATTTGAAGTCGTCACACCCACAAGTGACATCTATTAGGGAGCCCGTTACTTTCCACTGTATTATAAGGGCACCAATGAACACGGACTCTCCCCAACGGTGCATTTCGAATTGGGGCAGATCCACTGGGATCTGCCCCAATTCGGGAAATATGGATCCAAAGAAAAGGAGCTCTAGGCTGAGCTCGTACTCTTGGGAGTCTTCCTGGGGTACTGTAGACTTTTCAAAGCTTAAGAATCCTAACTTCATCTGGCTTCGCTGATAGTCGAAATCCAAAATTTCCATTGTCAAATCTGAAACTTCAATTGCGATCCTTCTCTTCTTCTCAGAATACTCAAACGAAGCTTCCGATCCTCTTCTGAATCGTAACCTCTCCAGAATCCTATCTTGCTTCTCGACACTCACTTTCCACCAGTGCAAATCGTGCATCGACACCTTCGCGCTAATCCCATCGATCGCTGAGCGACGAATCCTCTCCTGATCGGTGTCCAATTGCTCATACTGTATCGAATTCAGACGGATTTCTGACTTGAGCAATTGATCAGCGATGATCA